CCCTAACCCTAACCCTAACCCTAACCCTAACCCTAACCCTAACCCTAACCCTAACCCTAACCCTAACCCTAACCCTAACCCTAACCCTAACCCTAACCCTAACCCTAACCCTAACCCTAACCCTAACCCTAACCCTAACCCTAACCCTAACCCTAACCCTAACCCTAACCCTAACCCTAACCCTAACCCTAACCCTAACCCTAACCCTAACCCTAACCCTAACCCTAACCCTAACCCTAACCCTAACCCTAACCCTAACCCTAACCCTAACCCTAACCCTAACCCTAACCCTAACCCTAACCCTAACCCTAACCCTAACCCTAAACCCTAAACCCTAACCCTAACCCTAACCCTAACCCTAAACCCTAACCCTAACCCTAACCCTAACCCTAACCCTAACCCTAACCCTAACCCTAACCCTAACCCTAAACCCTAACCCTAACCCTAACCTAACCCTAACCCTAACCCTAACCCTAACCCTAACCCTAACCCTAACCCTAAACCCTAACCCTAACCCTAACCCTAACCCTAACCCAATGGCATTGTGTTTATTTGTCAAAAAATGTAAATAAAAACAAATTAACCCTAACCCTAACCCAACCTGCCTGTCTACCTGAGACTGCCTGCCATGGAGGATTGCAACAAGAACAACACTGCCAAGCTGTCCCACACCAGTGCAGCTGACCAAGCCTACCTTTCCAAGCTGCAAGAGTTCAAGAAGGCTGGAGTACTCTATGGTACAGATCTTTCCTTTGTTTCTTGAGCTTTTCCCCTCTCCTTTTTTAATGACATTTTTTAACACTTCTTGTTTGTTTTTTTTTAGCACCAGAAACAATTAAGGGCCTTCAGCGTAAGCCTCGCTTCATGGGGATGACAAGTGCTGAGCTTGCTGAGGTCCCCCATTTCCAAGACTGGCTGAATGACAAGAACTCTCTTGCATTGGCCATGGCTAGTAGTGAGGTAAAGTTCTAATCAACTCCTCCTTTGATAACAAAAACACTGTTATCCTCACTCACTCACACACACACACACACACTACTTTTTTACAAAAGGTTTTGGAGCAGATAGAGGCCAACCTCAAGGATCCCAAGAGTCCTCAGAAGGTCAACACCAGAGATGCTCAGAAGGCTCTCAAGGACATGTCTTCTGCTGTTGGCAACTACTTTGGATTCTGGCACAAGTACAAAGGTACCCTCTCTTCATAAGTAACACACACACACACACATTCATTCACATATATCATGTGTCATGTGTTGTAGGTCTTCCACCCACTCTGGACCTCCTCTACACCCCTGACAGGGTGGATGAGTGGATTCTCTGGCTGGAGGCCTACTATGGTCCTGGGTCAACAGTTCAGAACAAGAGTTGGAATGTCAAGAACTTTGTTCACTTCCTTCACACCAACATCCATGGGCTCTCTCAGGAAGAGATGCAAGACCTCATCACCTGCAAGAGGAGACTTGGAGATAGTGGCAACAGGAACAAGA